GATGCAATGAATGGGGAGTCATGGTAAGTTTTTGAATGAGGACTTGAGGGAATTGACATCATCAGACTTGTACTTTCATCAAATTGATGTGAAATTACTATATTTATCTGAATGGGACATTATGGGGAAAAGGGAAAGGGTTAGTAACTTACTTTAATAAATTAGGCATGAGATAATAAAGAAAGTCCTGGTCTAGGACTGTCAGGGTGTTTGTACTGCTTAAAACTAAAGAGAGAATTCTGGGAAATAACTGACCTTAGTGAGATAGATAATACATTTATTTAAGTGTATTAAAATTATAGTACATAAGTGAAATAAGTGGTGATACAGAAATGAAGCTCAGGAACAGGATGAAACACACACACACACACACACGTAGATATACTCTAAGGTTGTGCACTTAAATATATAAATGTAAAGCCTTAAGAAATACAAGACTTAGAGAGCCACAAAAAAAGTAAAAAGGTGAGTTTAACTCATAAGGAAGGTGAGTTTAGCTAAGGACTTTATCCTGATTTCATAAAGGAGAGTCTAGAAAGAAAACAAATCAGAGAAAATGAGCAAGGGGTCTAAGAGTATTCTGGATGCTGAGACAGAGTGATGTGAGAAGGGATATCTCTAGAGTTAGAATGTAGTTTGTAAGAAAGTTCAAATAGGATGAATGCTGATAAAAACCACTAGATTCAGGACTTATATTGTGATTGGTTCCAGAGGAAAGAATGAAGGATTGTCAAAGAATTATAGCTGAGAAAGTAGGGGATAGAAACCAGTAATTTGTGCCAATAAAATTCTTGATTTTTTTTTTTTACCTCCCACACTGTTCTGTTAAATCCAATAATTTTATCATCTCATTCCATATGGTATCGATGGACACAGATTAAAGGAAACAAAATTTCTGCCAGAAACACATTTCCTTCTTCCAAGAAACACACATGTTCATGATAATAAAACAAATGGAAAAGTAGGTAAGACCAAACATGTAAAAGTGTCTGAAATCTTTAATTATTTAAATGTCATTGGAATTCTTTCAGATATTTATATAAGTATTTGTTAGGAAAAAATGTCATCAGTAAAACTTCAATTGAATTCAGAATTCTACTAGAAGAGAAATACGATAAATTTAACCAAAAGAAAACATGGTATGTGTTTATGGCAACAATAGCAGAAATATTTATTGTAAAACCCCGTAACTAGACATACTACAGTAAAAGAACTTGGAATATCTTGAGCATTGCAATTCTTTATATATTTTCAAACCTTCCTTTGTTAAAGAACCGAAGTGAGAAGAGAGGCATTGAGTGAACCTCGAACGTTTGTTTCTTGCTTCCTGCATGCAAACATTATAAGCATTAAACTATGAAATAAGTTGTCTTTTGATCTAGGCAGCTAACTTAAGTAGAACAAATTTATTTTTTTGACCAGCTGTCACTATCTGTGTGTCAGGCATTGTGTTAGGTGTTATATAAGTAACAGAAAGCCAAGTCATGGTTTCTGCCCTCCTGGAACATAGATTCTAGCTGAGATAGAAAATAAATTTAAAACATAAACACGGTGTTATAGGTCTCAAAAAAGCTATGAGAGTAATAACAGGTTATATGCAAGAGTAACTTCAGAAAGACATGTTTTGAGTAGGCGGTAAGGAAATACCCCTTTGGGGAGATAATATTGAGCTACAATGAGAACGACCAGCCCAGTCCAGTAAACGCCGGGGAAGCAGAATTACAGGAAGAAGAAAAAACTACAAAGTTCATGTTCATATTAATATTCAAACAACTGATAACAAAAAAATCACATTTCAAGTGCTTCCTATATATAGTACTTTTAGAGGTTTTATCATGTTTATTTTTTGTAGTAACAGTGGGATGTAGATGTCAATATGAATCCCAATTCACAGCTACGAAACTGAGGAACAGAGGGCTTACGTAACTTGTAAAAGGTCATAAAACTAGTCAGTGGAAACACTTGGCCCAAACTGTTGTATATGTTTTCAGAATCCAAGTCTGTTGTATTGCCCATATGATCCATCAAAACTCAAGTCCAAATCAGCTTGTGATCTGATCTTTCTCCACACTTTGTATTTTACAGAAGGTGCCGTCATCTGCCTCACTATCCAGAGACCTGGGTATCACCCTCATCTTCTCTCTGCTTTACTACCAAATTCAATCATTATAGCCTCTTAAAATTTAATGTCTAAATGTATTTTGAATAAGATCTGTTTCTGCAAAGATCACAGTAGAATGTATGTTCAGCTTTTACTAGGATTGCTGTGTTAACACGACAGTTTATCTTGCTTGGTTTTCCCATGCCACCTCCTCATTCACAAGCCATTTTCCATATTGTCATCAAAGTGAGCATCCTAAAAACATGATCATATCACTCCTCCTCTTAAAAAACACTTTAGTTTTTTCCCCCATTGCCCTTAAGATGAAATTCAAAATACCATGGTTTCAAAGTAGGGTAGCCATATGTCCTGTTATTTCTTAGACAGTCTCAATTTTTATCATTGTTTTTCAGTGTGATTCTTAATTGTGTCCCTTTATTCTAAAAAGTATCCTGGTACTTTAAGACCTAGTCCAAAGTTACTGCTTCAGTCTCATTTCTGATCTTTCCATTTAGCCCATGCACTTAAACTCTATGCTGTGTTCATACGGGATTACCTGTGTTCCTGAGGTCTCTCAGGCTTTTGTTACTTCCACTAGAACATGCTGGGCACTCTGCTCATAGCTTTCTACTTATCACTCACTCTTCCCCAACTTACTGGCCAATATATACTCAATTTTAGGTCTCGACTTCAACATCACCTGTAATTCAGCTCTCTGGCTTTTCTACGGAAAGAATAAGTTAGGTCCCTTCCTCAGTGTCTGTTGCTGCCCAGTCATTACATACACTCACCCAAGTGTTTTTACCCATTTTGCTCTTGGTTCCACTCACAGTAGTGTAAGTTCTTGCAGACAGGGAAAGTATCCCCGTTTATTTAACTAGCTCCTGGCCCATATTCAACAAATAATACTTCTGTTAACTGATAAGATTTTATTAGTTCTATGTAGGAGCTCTGTATTCCTAGCACTGGGGATGATGCCCTACACAAAGTAGGTTCTTAACACATAGTTTTTAAGTGACTAATTTAATGTACAAATGAATACATTGGTGTTTGGCGCCTTTAATAGAGAATGGAATTAATTTTAATTAGTGTTGCTGTTTAAACTGGTAGCAAAGAGATGTGTAGAGATAGGAAGAGTTTGTTTCCTACAGGATAAGCACCGTCGGTTAAAAAACTGTTCTGTATTTGAAAATACAGTGTGTGAAGTGGTAATTTAATTTGAACCAAGGAATGTTTGTGTGTTTTGAAGAATAAATGTGACATCAAGTTCTCAGGGGTCCCAGCACTTTATTCTGACTACTCCCTTTAACTTGGGCTTAACATATCATGGCTTTGTCTTCTCCAGGACACTTGTTACACCTCGAGAACCAGATTGGTCCTTACATTCACAGGAAAACCTACCTATCTCACACTAAAAACAAGTGATTCCAGTCTCTCCAAGCCACTCACATGAGCTGTTCAAATTAAGCACTCTTAACACCTGGGTTTATAAATTAGAGAATATATTATTATTTAATATATATTATTATGATGTCTATGTCTATAGACAAAACTGTGGAACCACTTTCCTATCCTGTGCCTTGCCTTCTCCCTGTATCTCAAGTGAAGATGCTCTTATGCTGATAATCATCTTAGCTAGATAGACACTACAGATACACGTGAGATGGGAGGCTTCCCTTCCTTGAGAACCCACAAATGTGTTACCTTAGAAACAGGAGCTTATTTCTGTTGCCGCAACAAGTGAAGTTTGATGTATTATTTTCTCAGTTGTATTAGTTTTCCCAGTAAATGGAATCTGTCAGAAGAAACCAGAATTTTTGAGGTTACAATTTGTTAAATAGAAGCTTAACTTACATTCTTAAGAAACTCTTCGAAACTTAAACAAATTTGACATTTGCTCTCATACCTTCATTTATGGAAGGAAAAAAAATGGCAACAGAATTTTTAAAAAGAAACCATCATACATCATAACACCACCCCCAACACATAAGTATTCACAAATACGTAACAACTTTGTGTGTGTGTGTGTGTGTGTGTGTGTGTGACATACAGAAGATTAGCTGCAAACTGATATGGCAGGTGCAGTGTATCAGTCAGGTGGAGAAACGAAACTAAGATGACCAAAAGCTAGAGACTGCTGGATGGAAAAGGCCTGTTTTAGTCTGTTAGGGCTACTGCAACAAGTAGACTGGGTGGCTTACAGACTCCGGATGTTTACTTCTCACTGTCTGAAGCCTGGGAATTCCACATTCAAGGTGCTGGCAGATTTGGTATCTGGTGAGGGCCCATTTCCTAGTTCACAGATGGCACAGGGTAGCAGGGGCAAAGGGTTCCTCTTTTTTATAAGGGCATTAATTGCATTCATGAGAGTTCCACCTCCATGACCTAATCCAAAGCCTCCCAAAGGCTTCCCTTCCTAATACCGTTACCTTGGGGATTAGGATTCAACAATGAATTTTGAGGGGACATAAACATTCAGACCAAAATAGGTCCCTCCCTGCCTGTCTTGTTGTTCTCACACATGAGAATATTTAAAAGCAGGTTGTCTTTGAAGTGTTATGCTACTTTATGTGACCTTAGTGTTTTTTTCACATTTGATTCGGTGGTTTTTATTTGTTTCCATAATCATGTCTCTTCTTGTATGCAGAGTAAATATATGCTTAATGTGCAAAAAATATTAACACTTCTTCACTTTTGGGTGTTTGAACTGAGAAAATTTGGTTATGAAAACTAGAGGGCTATTTTAAAAATATAATTATAAGTGAAGCAACGACACATTTACAGCTAAGAACCATATAATGAGAATTTTTTTTTTACATACGTCAACACAATTTACTGAGGCAGAAATGCGTAAAATACGGAATGCTCACAAATTTTTCTATCTCAAATTTCTGAACAGAAAGAACGAGAGAGAGGTTCTAACCTGGCCTTTATGTTTCGACTGCCTTTTGCTGCTGGGAGGGTGTTTAGCATCAGTATGTTGGACACTCTGCTGTATCAGGTATACAGAATTCTTTTTTCTCCCTAAAATGATTGTTTTCTGTTTTATTTAGATTTTATTTAAATGAATAATACATCTGAGTGTTTCCATGCAGCTGTTAACTTAAAATTGGCTCCAGAAGTTATTCAGCATTTTATTTCTTATACTTAAAGACATAAATGCTCCTGTGAAACATTTTGTAAGAAAAATATTATTTTAAAAAATAACCTGTGGAAATTATTTTAGGCATTCTTTTGTGTCAGTTCCCTGCAATGTTTAGTACATTTAATACATTTTAGTACATTTTGCATGTTACTCCAAGCATATTACTGGATTAAAAACAGGTAAGAAAAAATTATCTACTTAATAAAAACAGCATTCTTTGTAGTATACACTTTTTTCCTGATTTGAAATAAAATACCAAATTGATGTCAGTAAACTGATAAACTAAGGACATTTTAAGAATCTGCCAATTATTGCATATTTCAGAGAAATATGAAAAAGACTACAACAACTAAAAACCATTGAATTTGTTTCTGAATGCCAACTTAACTTTTTCATTTTGTCATAGCTAAGAGGTTTGTGGCAATGTTAATTCAAAATATAATCTTTTTTGTCTCTGCCAGAAACTGAACAACAGTAGTATTTCATTTTCTCTGATTCAGGTAATCAGACAATCTCTAAATATTTCCATTAAGAAGAAAGATTTATTTGTAAGGCTTGATATCATTTGGTAACATTAATCTCAAATTAAGCATTTTAGCGTTTTATCGTACCTATTATTTTTGCTTATTTGTGTACCATCTTCTATAATTGCTTGACTGAACAAACTAATGCAAAGAGCGTTAAAGCTTTTCTGCAGACCTCCGAACTAGTTTTGCCCATGAGTATGCCTTTAGCAGTGTCAGAAACCATCTGCTTATGTCAGATGAGTGTTGGCACAAACACAACGAAGTAGAATAAATACCCCTATGATCCCGAAAGTTTCCAGGCGTATTATGTGGTTACTACAGGAGGCAGGGCTCCCGCTTCAAACACTGATATCGTGCACACATACTTCTGATCTCTTAAAGATTAAATTGCACGGGATGGTTTATTTGAAGAAGAGTGTTGAAACTGAAGATTTTATATCAATAGGAGCCAGATGCCTGGGTGCTGTTATGCCCCAGTGGTTTTAAGATATTTTTAGCCACAGTATCCTCTGTTTAAATAAAATCTTGTAAGGAAGTCTAATGTATAAGTTAAACAGAAGAAAAACTATTCTGTAGAAATGAAAAACAGTAGCTTTTTCTTTCTCTTTATTTTTGCCTCACGTTTATGTTATAAATAGAGATACAGGAAATTGGATGAGTTTCTGAAATCCGAAGAAGGAGCGAACTAGATCTATATATTTTTTAAGTCTTTTTATATATTGTTTTGGAGACAGTCCTGCTCTGTCACCCCGTCTGGAGGACAGTGGTGTGACCTCGGCCCACTCCAACCTCCACCTCCCAGATTCAAGCAATTCTCCTGCCTCAGGCTCCCAAATAGCTGGGATTACAGGAGTGCACCATCACACCCCGCTAATTTTTGCATTTGCAGTAGAGACGAGCTTTCACCATGTTGGTCAGGCGGGGCTCAAACTCCTGATCTCAGGAGATCCACCCACCTTGGCCTCCCAAAGTGCTGAGATAGGTGTAATTAAGACTGTGCTCGGCCTAGTCTTAAACTGTAACACAGTAAACCTATTTTGCATATTAATTCAATATATACCTGCATGTGTGTGCATATGTGTATGTATGTATAACCGAAACAAAACAGTACCAACACACCCTTTCTGCTTGTAATTTACTGTATTATTTTTTATCATACTGAATATACTCTATTTCATTTTTTAAATTTGCTGACATTAATTCATAACTATTTTGTGGCTTGTTTGAAAAACATTAAGTAGAGGACTTTTGGATTAGTAAAATCCAGAGCATAATTCCTCTCCAGTGGGACTTTTGATCTATTGTCAGTGGTTCTTGAACTATTGGGAATTATTTTCAGTCACACTCTCTTTAGCTCTTTACTAATAATATGGTCTATGTGTTTGTAAAGACTATTCTAGCTTTCAGACTTTCCAATATTTTAAGAGATGCACTGTCATCCCAGGGAAATGTGGTGATTCAATTTATTTATTAATTTTTTAAGGCTCCGTTTTAGACCTGGTGTGTTGGCTCATGCCGGTGATTCCAGCACTTTAGGGTGGCCAAGGTGGATGGATAACTTGAGGGCAGGGGTTCTAGACCAGCCTCACCAACATGGGAAACCCTGTCTCTGCTAAAATACAAAACTTAGGAGCCATGGTACACGCCTGTGGTCCCAGGTACTTGGGAGGCTGAAGGCAGGAGAATCTGCTTAAACCTGGGAGGCGGAGGCTGCAGTGAGCTGAGATCACACCATTGCACTCCAGCCTGGGTGACACAGCAAGACCCTGGCTCACATAAATACGTACATACATACATATATACATACATACGCAGAAGGCCCCATTTTATCATGAAGTATTGTGGAAAGGGAATATGCAATAATAAATGATAAATATAGAAATTTACTTTACTAGCCTAGAGCTTAATTCTAAAAAAGACTGACATTTTTCATTGAAAATTTATTTTAATTGTTTTAAGTTTTCATGATAGTCATTCATTTGGGGTTTTTGTTTTAAAAATTCTAAAACTGTTTTTATCATTCCTAATAGCACACATAAAATATAAGCACAGTGAGATATTTCTAGATGAAAAATTATTTCCAATGTTTCCTTATGAATAGCTTAACTATACATGTTTTTCTAGGATACCAGCAAGATGTATTACATTTTTTTCCTATGGAGGCTTCATAATGTGTTATGAGAAATGATCTTTTAGAAGTTGTTAGTTGTTCACACTTCTAGGTGTTCTGCACTTCTGACATATATTATATTAAATATATATGTATATTTTGTTCGTTTGTTTATCTTGCAGTCATTTGTGAAGGATTATATGATTTCGATCACGAGACTTCTGTTGGGACTGGACACTACACCAGGGTCTGGGTTTCTTTGTTCTGTAAGTTGATAATCTCTAGAGTAGAAGATCGTTGTGATAGAAGGTTCTGAAATCTCGCTACCATATACTTTGCTAATTCTTCTGTGTCATATGTTATTTTTTGTATTGTGAATCCAGAGTTGCATCTGAGTTTTTAAAATTCCCTTAAAATTTCAAGGAAAGTATATTATTTTTAATTAATAATCATAATAAATAGCTATTTTGTTTAAAATGCCAAATGAATGTTTTTTGATAACTGGCAATTTGAGCCTGCCGTAGGATGCAATACTGTCCGGGAAAGCAGTGATCATACTATTTAACCCCGTTGTTTTATAGAGAAGTGCATTTGTCCAACGGTACTGAATGAAATTATTTGCTAACAGTTCAGATTTACAAGAAGCAAAGAGGGACTACAACTTTTGTTTCCTGTTTGGTAGCACTGTGCTTCTTCTACTACACATCTTTCTCAATATGGGCATTATTAGAACATTGGGTGGAACAAGTCATTATGGTACCAGTGTCTTTTTTACTTTAGGTTTGGTCACATCAGCAAACCCTGTACATTAAATTCCAGTGGCGGCCTTCAGTTATCGCTGCATGCAGAAGAGTTTCCATGTGCTTTGCATTTCCCAGTCAGTTACCAGTGCTCTCTTGCCTACTGATAGCGAACCCATATAATGTCATGCTGCCTTAAATTGAGTACGTAGATTTCTTAAGCTTGGTGATGCGTAACAAATAAATTTCATAGATGGATAAGCATGAAATATAACTTTGAGATTTGCAAACACTAATAATTTCTGCCTTTAAGAAGTGAAAAATGCTTGAGCCAGGTGTGTCAGTTGAGGCTGCAGTGGGCCGGGGTTGTACCATTGAACCATAGCCTGGGTGACAGAGAGAGATTCTGACCCCACAAAAATGAATAAATAAAGAAGTGAAAAGTTACCACTAGCACTCTTTTTCTGACACATTTAATATGTAAATAATGTGTGTGTGTTATAGATGAAAATTACTGAAGATGACTTATGGATCAGAACTTACGCCAGACTTTATCAGAAGTTGTGTTCTTCTACTGGAGATGTTCCCATTGGAATCTACAGGACTGAGTCTCAGAAACTTACTACATCTGAGGTTTGGAAATAACAAAATATACCTATTTTGATGTTTAACCAGATGAATGCAATCATTCAAAAACTTACAAACTGATTTCTAAAAAATGCGATAGAAAGTGAAAAGAATGCTACCTGAATACATAGTGTTAAATCTCAGAAGTAAAATTTTTTTCAGCTTTTTTTTTTTTACTAAACTGTGTCAGTATTCCAAAGAATATTGTTGGCTAAAGGGCTGTTCTGATTTTATGGATGTTGGGTTTTAGGTGACTTTTGTAGATTTAGGATTAGCTGTTTCTAGAAGATTATCAGGAAGCAAATTATTTATAAATAACCTTGAGTTTCTGACACATAAGAAAAGTTCTCAGGCAAGCAACCTAGATTTCTAATATATGCCCCTACTGCGTATATTAGCATTTTGAAGGAAGCAAAGCAAATTTAGTAAGTATTCACATTTCTCAATCTCCAGATGGATGGCCACTCTAAAGCCAAAAGAAAACTCCTGAATATAAGAGTAGTGTCAGATCTTCCCAAAGAAAAGTTCAGTAAATTTAACAGCAAACTTGATCCAGTTAACATGGAAGGAGAATCTCTGATAAGTTTGTGTAGCTGAAAACATATTTGCATTTTGATTTGGTCACTTCATGTGGTACATGTTGTTTTAAGTAGTTCTTAAAGCCTTAGTATAATATCACCTTTTAGGTTAGACTCTTTTCTGAAAGAAAGATTTTGTATAAATGCATCATTCTATCAATATCTACAAAATTGTTTAATGTAAGTTGTGGTTTGTATTCTTGAAATATATTTTTCTTCAGACACTTCAAAGTTATTACAAATTATTTAAAAATTTGGTTAGCCAATTTTTTGGTCTGATACAAAATTATGTCAACTGTAAGGCTCAGATCAGACACATGCATTTCATTAATTTATAAGGTTATTAAACCGCCTTGTGAAAAAAAATCGCCAAATCCCTGTATAGAAAAGAACTTTATAGAAAGCATAAAAATAATGGGGTAGATTTTTGTTGTTGCTGTCAAAAGTTTAGTTTGACACTTATGTATGTTGTCAGCAGAAAATACTCCAGTTTCTCTGAGGTGCTTCTTGGTGGTTTCACTGTAGCTTCAGGGGTGCTAAGTGGAGCTTTGCTGCCATCTTTCCTGCTGAATCTGAGTTTTTCTTTTCTTGTGGTCGTTGTGGTTCACACTGAAAAGAATGAGACAAATCTAGAGAAAGTCAGGAATTTTGATTGATTAGAAAAACAAACCAGACAGCTAAATATGTAAGATGTTTCTCTAGAAATGCCTAAAATTTTAAGAATACTGGATTAAAAACAGTATTATTTAATTAAAGGTTAAGAAAAGATCAAAGCTTTCATACCCAGGTAATTAAGCACAATTATCTGTTCAAGCTGCTATTACAAAATGCCATGGACTGGGACTTGTAAACCACAGCAATTTAATTCTCAGTTTTGAAGGCTGGGAAATCCAAGATCAAGGCACCAGTTGGTTAGGTGTCTGGGGAGGACCTGCTTCCTGGTTCTCACGTGGCCATCTTCTCACTGAATTCTCACCTGGTGAAAGGGAAGGGCATCTCTCTGAGTCTTCTTTTATAAAGCTGTCTCATGATCTAATGGTCTTCCCCAAGCCCTACCTTCAAATACCAACACACTGAGGATTAGGTTTTCACATATGCATTGTGGGGTGATGGGGAACAAATATTCAGTCTATATAAACCATTTCTTATTTGACCCTAGCCAGTACAAAGAAGATTTTCATACAGCGGCATGTTGCGATGTTTTTTGTCTGACATATAGGCTTTGAGAATTGCAATGCAGTAAATTCTACCCTTGGTCAACTGCATGTCCATGTCAGTGTTATGTATTATAATAGTGTCCATGTGTTATTAAAGTACTCTTTTGTGTGCTGTTGACATTGCAGGTAGGAAAAGGATAACTATGTTAATTGTCGTCAAGGAGTATTTAACTACATTTTAGTCAACTCTGCCCATCATAAAGATCACCTCATTAAAATGCTTGTAAATTCTCAAATGTCTAGATTATATTTAAAAATACGTATCATTGGGATGATAAAAGGGCACTGTTTAAAATAAAGATGACACCTTTTGTTTTTTTCTGCACTGATTTCAATCCGTCTTCTGGCACACGTATTTTTATTTAAATATTAAATTCTGCCTATTGTAGAAAGAATGGAGGCAACTAACGGAAATAAATAGAGACACCAAGCACTTTTTACAACAAAATATTTTAGTAGGAACAGAGAAATTAATTTTACTCAACATCTAGCATACCCTGAGTGCTACACTTGAGCCTGACTTCAATTTTTAATTTCCTGGTAAATAAGGTAAACAATAGCAATATGTTTATTTATATAGTAATTATAGCCGGGCGCGGTGGCTCAAGCCTGTCATCCCAGCACTTTGGGAGGCCGAGGCGGGTGGATCACGAGGTCAAGAGATCGAGACCATCCTGGTCAACATGGTGAAACCCCGTTTCTACTGAAAATACAAAAAATTAGCTGGGCGTGGTGGCGCGTGCCTGTAATCCCAGCTACTCAGGAGGCTGAGGCAGGAGAATTGCCTGAACCCAGGAGGCGGAGGTTGTGGTGAGCCGAGATCGCGCCATTGCACTCCAGCCTGGGTAACGAGAGCGAAACTCCGTCTCAAAAAAAAAAAATAAATAAAAATAAAAAGTAATTGTAGTCTGGTACATGAAAGGTTAAATTTCATCTTGCAAAAGATTTGTTTTTCTTGGTCATTTGTTAAAAGGATGAGTATATTCTTTGCTTCCTGAATTTGGAGATTTTAGATTCCATGATGAGTAATACCTATCTGTGGTCATAGCTTTGCAAGATGCAAAAGTAACATTAAAGTGTGTATCTCTTACATTAACCTTCAACTAAAAAAGTAGAAAGGGACATCAATTAAATCTTAACCCAATAAAGACATTGAGGTTTTTTTGTATTTAATGATGGAAACGTTATTTTTTTCAGATTATATAAAAACACAGGATAAGAGCTTAGTGTGTCTAATAAAATCAGATTAGCTCTAACAGTTCACCATGTGTCTCAAATATCAGATGGTTTAAAAGCAAAGTTCTGAAATTTAAATAACCATTAGTGTTCAAAATGCAACTGTCCTTTTACTAGAATTTAAAGAAAGACACTAGATTTCAGGAAGTAGAAACTTGATTTGGTAATTACTACGGAGAGTCTGTGTTTGTGCTTAGGTTGCCGTCAGATCTTAATTTGCCTCAAGTTCAGAAAGCTTTGCTGCTGTCACTCTCTCCGTATGAATGCATACTAAAGAGTTACTCCCTGGAGGTGGTCTGTGGCCGGGGGACCCTGGAAACAGTTAAGGGCTAGGAGCATCACCCTGAATTCTGAAAGTTCAGTTAGAGGGTTATTCTGTACACTTTACACTTCAGCAGCAAATGGAAGACTCTTTCCTAGGGGAACTGACCAACCCAAGTGGAAAGGCCTAACAATACAGACGTGGGAGATTCTTTTTTTTTTTTTTTTTTTTTTTTTTTGAGAGAGACAGTCTAAGTCTGTTGCCAGACTGGAATGCAGTGGCGCAAACTCGGCTCACTGCAACCTCCGCCTCCTGGGTTCAGGCCATTCCCCTTTATCAGCCTCCCAAGTAGCTGGGACTACAGGGGTGTGCCACCACGCCCGGCTGATTTTTTGTATTTTAGTAGAGATGGGGTTTCACCATGTTGGCCAGGATGGTCTTGATCTCCTGATGTCGTGATCTGCCCTCCTTGGCCTCCCACAGTGCCGGGATTACAGGATTGAGCCACTGCGCCCTGCCAGATGTGGGAGATTCTTTAAGTTCAGTAATCCAGCCAGATCAGCATGAAATGCAGCAATAAAAAGAATCTCCCCCAGAGCTTTCAGTCAATTTATTAGTCTTTTACTTTAATAAGAAGAAGACAACTAAATATTCCCGACAGAAGGGGAAAAGCTTATAAGATAAGATTCAGGAAGTTATTGATAAGCTAGAGCAAGAATTCACAACATGGACGAAGAGTAAACAAAGGATCAAATTAGAGAACTCGTTTAGGAGTTCTAAGATTTGAATCTTAAGATTTCAAGAAAAAGGAAATGCATAGAAACCGAAGAAATATTAGTGTAATAATTCTAGAAAAATCAGAATGTGTTAGTTTCCAGATGGGAAAGGTTACCATGTGTCCACAACAGTGAATTAAAATAGACTCACATCATCAAGTTTCAGAACACTGAGGGAAAGGAGAGGCTCCTAAAGTCTTTCAGAGTGAAGGTGGTGGGATAGATCACATGCAATGTACCATTTGGGTTTTCTCAACAGCAATACCACAAGCCAGAATAAAATAGAATAATGCTCTCAAGATTTTAAAAGAGTATTATTTTCAAATCAGAATTATCCAGTCAAAGCTATCAAACTTGTGTAAGAGCAGAACAAGTAAGATGTCAAGTATATATATTCTCCAAAAATGTCCTTCGCATGTCTGATTTCTAAGGACACTACTCCCACCAAAATGAGGGAGAAATCATGATCTGCAGGAAATCAGACATTTTATGGAAACCGGGTGACAAAAATAAAGTCAAGGATATCAACAGGATGGTGAGGAAAAGACCCCCAAGCATGAGGGGAGACCTAGAGCAGGTCAGAAGGCTTCAGAGAGATTTCTTTAGGAAGATTAAATCTGTAGACTTCCTGAAGCATCTCAATGTCTTCAATTAACATTAGACAGCTGCCAGAGAGTTCAGGATGAATTACTGTATATATCTAAGTACATATCAAAGCAATTTATACAATAAGACAATTATTGACTTTAGGAATATAACACCATTATCAACAATTAAAGTATGTGTGCAGGCAATGAATGCGAACCACACACCTATATATCTCATCTGTAAAGTATACTGAGTCATAATAAGTCCTGAATTTTGATCCAATAAAAATTATGCTGAACTATTTTGAGATGATGAGGGCAAACGTAGTGAAATATATATAAAAGATTGT